ATCCATTAAGCCAGTGTGGTCCTCTCTCAGAACAGTTCTAGGAGGTTTCTACATCCCTTTCCTGTGCTTGTATGGAGGAAGTGAAACTAGGGAAGGTTAGGGGGCACTGGGGGCTGCCTGCAGCTGGGCCAGTGTAGGCTGGGAGCCAGATTGAGGGCATCCGATTCCCAGTCCCGTCTCTTTCCCACTGAGCCACTCCGCCTCGCTTTTAATTTAATTAGGAGAACATTTAATCCCCCGTGCATTTCAGAGACGGGTTTGAGCCTGGCCGGGGCCGTGTGGGCCTCTGACAGGGATCCTGTGACTCATACAGCCTTGCACAGCCCTCCCGGGAGGGCTCCCATGAGGCTTCTTTGGCACCTTGTGCAGACAGAGGTGGTCTGGAGATTCACAGAAGACAGGACACTAGTCTGGAAAGACAAACTGGTCTCATCTGTTCTTGACAAGGCCCCTTCCCTATTCTCCTGGACACTGCCCCCAACACGGCCTCTCAATCTTCTCTCATCAACATTTGCAGGCTGAGAAGCCAAGTAAGAGAAATGGGTGCTCACTGAGGTACCACAGCAGGCCCTGATTGTCTCCAGGCCCTGAACATCCCAGGCAAAACTGTCCCATCAGAAGAGCTAGCCTCCTGATCCACTAATGCCCCCCTTTCCAGAAAGCATAGGCTGGCCCCAGCCTCGCTGACAAACGCAGAATTCAGGAGACATTAGTAGTGATGTGGATGAAAGCCAGGCCACAGCGGGCCTCCCTGGAAAAGAGAAACTCAAACGTCTTGGCGTGAGATTCTGCAGGGTCCAGGAGAAAGTTGAAGACATGGAAATTCTAATTAACGTACGTGGGGCTGGTTTTGCTCAAGGATTTTTGAAGCTGTCATGTCACAAGAGGCCCGGCAAGCACATGCTCGCCCGGGAGGTGCTTATGGGCACCTGGTGGGATTCTTGCAATGCCCTAGCCTGAGTTCTTACTTTGCTCTGTCCTCTAGACTTTCTTCCAACCACCTTGGTGAACTAGGTGGCTCCTGAATGCTCTCCCCCCCCCCCCAGAGTGGAATGACAGGCTGATTGGTAAATAAAAGTTGAGGCTCCTAGTTGAAAATGTCACAACAGAAAATTCAGAGGGGGTCAGGAACCAACTTCTCAGAACCTTCAGGGAAACTACATGACAGAGCCAGGCTTGGCTAGGCTGCTGTGTTTATGGTAGGCTTGGCCTTTGAGGGTGCTCATCTTGGGTATCCTTGTGTGACTGATAGGGCAAAGGTGTGGGTTCCAGGCAAGTTCTGATTGGTTCATCAGCTGGAGGGTGGAGGTGAAGTGGCAGTAGGAAAAGCTCACTGAGGCCACACCCAGGCACTATCCTTTAGCTTTAAGCTTTGGACTCATGTCCTGGGCCCCATGTCTCAACATCCATGAGAGCTACCTGGAGACCTTATTTCATTTCAAGCAAGGCTAAGGATGTACTTTCTGTTTTAGAGTAGAAGTGGCAGTCTTGGAGTTCTGTCCTGAAATTTGGGGAGTGTTGGAAAAGGAGTGGCAAGAGGAGCCATGAACACTCTGCTCCCTACCAGCCCCAGGCTAAGTGTCAGGGAGTTGTTACTTGGGGGCTTGAGGATAGCCTCAAGAGGATGTGAGAGGTGTTCCTGAGTAGACGGAAGACTGAGTAAACACTGGAAGATGCATGTGATTCTGATAGCTACAGGAGTGATGAGGGCATTCCATCTGGTGTGATACCACACAGGGCAATGGATGCATACAAGCCCTTGCCAGTTATCCACAGTAAGCAGGGTCCTAGGGAATTAACCTAACTATTGGGTGTAAGGCTACCCCCATATCTATGGTAGTTCTTCCACATGTTGGCAAAGGTCTCTATTCTCTATTTCATAGTTGGCCCTTAGAAACCTGGAGTAAGACTTTGGGTAGAGGACTCGTGTTGTGGGAGCTTGGAGAGTACAGGGCTCCCTTCCAATGATGTTAGAATCAGGAAGACAGCATCTGACTGAAATATGTATGCAAGTCTGAGGCCCAGCTGCACAGAGCTGGATAAGGCCCGGGAGGTACTCAGGGAGCTGCTGGTGCTTGCCTATTGAGCTGGGGTCAGAGAAGCTGCCTTGTCTTCTCAGCACCCTTCCCTGTTTACCAGCAGCTCTCTATATTTTTCAGTAGGCCAGCATGTTGGCCTCTCTGTCCCCAAACTATCAGTGGCCAATAGGCTCTGAAAAAGAGGAGCTTCACCCAGCCCCAGGGACCTTCCCATAATCAAGGCTACAGTGACCTCACCTCCCTGGGGCCCCTGGGTGGGGAGAGCTTGAGATGGAAACAAAATGTGTCTTTATTTATGCTTTTAATTTGAATTCTGGAACTGACCCAGCATAGTAATACATTTAACATCAGTAAAATGCAGAAGAAAAATGGATCTGTTTTTTTCTGCAACTGCCTCCCACCCACTCTGCCCCCCGCAAGACCCTAGTACACATCTCTGTCCCTGGTAGACACGTACCAGGGTGTGTGCCTCTTTTTTCTGTGTGTGTTCATAGGGCCAGTTGCCCACAGGAGCCATGCTGCATCGCTGAGCTGCTGGAGCCTAGCTTAATTACAGACATCAATCAACAAGCTGACTGTGCAAGAGGCAAAGGAATGTAGTCCTGGTGTGGGCACATGGACCCCATACACAGTGCCCATGATGGCCTATCTGTTCCCCCAGGATGGGGAGGGGTCTTGGAAAGGCCAGTAGTCCTGGGGAGCACATAGAGTTCTAGGACCCAGACATACACCATGCCTGTGGTCATCCTCTTTGCTAGGACTTCCAGCAAGGATGGCGCTTGCCTTCTGAGGATGTGGGTGTCCAGATTCTTTGATGCCTCAGCCCTGACCCCCAGCTCTGCTTTGACCAGATTGTATCTCTTTTCTGAAGCCTGTGATCTCTCTCGGTTCCTACCTTAGGTCTTTTTACTCAGTACCACCGTGGGCTCCTTCTTTCATACCCTCCCACCTTTTCAGGTTGGCTCACTTCCAGCTGTTACATTTGGAAGAAATTGCCCTAGAAATGGCCTTAGTGTGTTCCTGGGTGGGGACTTGACTGGGTAAAGACTGTCTACCTCCTACTCAGAGAGACTTCAGGAGTGCTGGCCTCAGAAGAGCTGTGGTATCTGGATAGATGGTAACATACTAACTAAGCATCATTTGTATTTCTGAGGCTCTGTTACCTCAGAGGGGAGATCAGAATTGGACTAGTACTCAGCAATGTTGTCTTACTGGCTTCGGGCTGCTTCTGGAACAGATGGGCAGTGTTTGACTCCAGGAGCTTTGAATGTATTAATACCAGCACTAATACCCCAAAGGGATGATTGATTGTAGGGAAGCTATAGGTTGAACTATGGACTTGTATCTTTAGTTTTCCACTCTCCTCTGAGACCCCATTGGGGCTTTCCTTCAGGGACTTCACTGTGAGACATGTTTGTCCATCTGGATGGATGATTTGTTGAGAGCCATGCCCTCTTTTGATGAAACTGCTTTTGTGTCTGGAGGCTACTCCATGGCCATAAGAATAAAATGGAATGGTCACCAGCAAGAGGTGAGTGATCAAGAGGACAAGAAGGCTGAGTGGCCTCTCTAGGCTTAGGCAATTCTCTAGGGCCTGTTATGGTTGCCATGGTGCTACTTACCATCCCCACTCCTAAGTAGGCACTGTCATATTGCATATAACACCAACCACAAGACACCAGTATTTATACTTTGAGTCCTCTCATGTCCTAGACTTAATCAATTGAGAGCCTTAACCATGTTGTATGCTATTGTTCTACCCATTGACACCAGCCTATACCTGCCCATCCTGTCTGGACTCCTGCTCACACCTCTGTTTCTGCCTATTAATATAGCCAGCATGTAAGGCTGCCTTAGGAGGGAGAATGACCCCTGCTTCTCAATAACCTACTGTCTCTCTCTTAAAAACTATGAGACATTGGTAACCTCCCTTTGAGTTTTGGTGGCTTGGGAAGATAGAGGGCATGGCTTGTTTGATCATAATCATCCCTTCTGACAATCCTGCCTTCCCCTAAGGTGGCTTCAGCTTCGTTATCTGGTTACTTAAAAAGCCCTCAGCACCAGTTTCTTCAGTCCCTGCAAAGTCAAGCCCACACAAGGAAGATAGTAAAGACAAGAAATCCAGGCATAGGCTAGAAGCATTATGACCAAGTACACAAGGCTAAGGACATGAATTTTAGTAGAAAGAATGAAAGCATCCTAGTATGTAAATCCCAGGAGGACTAAGAGTGTGGCACCAACACCCTGACACATAGACACTTTTCCAGGGGAGTACCTAGTGATGCAGTGGCCAGAAGGATTCTGAATGGCCTGCTTCTACCACATGGCTGCCTCTATACTGGGCTTTGGTGGGAACATTTGAGTCACATGTTGCAGAGAAATCATACCATGGCTGGGTACTGGGGATTGGCCTAGTGATGCTGTGATAGGGGCCCAACAGAGGATGGGCATGTATCCCAGGCCAGCTGTGTCTCAGGAGAAGGCCAACTGGAAGGCGTGGAAAATCAGCCATTTCCTCCACCTGAAGGAGCCCCTGAGGACAGTAGTGGCAACTGGCAGACAACACCCGGCATCTGCCCCATGGCTTTGGCTAAAGTTCCATGGGGAAATGCTAAAAAACAAAGTTGACTCTTTTAAAGGAGTGGTGGAGGGGAGTAGGGAGAGAAAAACTATTTTCTCAGACGCTCAAAGCATGAAAACAAGTGGAAAATGATCAGCTTAGTTTTCCATAAGTCAAAACAAGAGGATCATATTTCCAGATTTGGTGGGAAAGCCCCTGCTCTCTTCTCTTGCCCAAGTCCTGAGGCCAAACCCAGCAGCCAGTGGCCCCAGGTTCTTAAGGGTAGGCAGTGAGTTCTGGGTACTGAGTAAATAGACTGCATCCCAGCAAGAGAATGAGCTTTGCTCTATGCCAGGGTAGTTCCCTTGAGCCCCAGCCTCTGTGGGCAGATGGACACTCACTGTGACACATGGGTGATGGGGGTCAGCAGTGTCTCCCCTTCCAGGTCCAGGTCCTCAGCAAAGCTGTTTGTTCTCAAGAAATGGGGTGTGCTTACTTCCAGCAGTGTAGGGCTCTTCCTTACTGTGGAGAAGGTGTGGGGACAGCTCATTAGGCTTCAGTAGAAACTCGATCATGAAGGGGCTCCAGAGCTGGATAGAACTAGACTCAAATGCTCTCCTCAACCTGCTATTGCTATGGGATAAAGGTGTGAGCTCCCATGGTCAGGTGAAGAATGGAGACAAAGCTTAGAAATTTCAGTCTCACCCATCAGGTTTACATTGAGTGGAGTGGAATAGGTGAATGGGTGTTCAGATTGGTCTCCAGGCACCTGGGGCCTCAAAATCCCAGACTGAGTGATAAAGGCTGGTACATTCTTCTCAGTGTGGTAACTGCCCTGGGGTTGAGCTTCAGAACTGAGGACCTGACGTATCTCAGGTTCTGGGCCTCTCACTAGCTTCACACAAAAAATTGGTGTCAAGAACAAATAGAGGCACTGACTCCTAGTATTGTGCTGACAGATCAGTGAGCCGGGCAATAAAGGGTGCTAGTACCTCTGCTTATCATAAAATACAAACTGAATTCCTTGCTCTGGCCATGATGCTGTATTAACCAGGTGCTCTTTGAGGGAGGCCACCCAATTGTCCCAATAGATGACTTCATATAGCTCAGGAGACTGATCCAGATCAGTCTTCACAGGGTGTTCCAGTTTAGTAGTGTTTGCTCTCAACTCACTTTTCATTTAAAGTGTTTGATGTAGAGCAATTGAGTGCTTCTAACAAGTGGAATAATGCAAAATTCACAGTGGTCCTCAATTATCATAAGAGTCACCTGCCAGGCAGATAGATCCCTGGCTCCTGGTTTTTATTCATCTTGATAGCACATATAACATTATACACTTGAATGAACCTCTATTCTTGTCAGTTTTTTCTTATTGTTCTGCGACATGCTTTTCTCCAGGTATGCAGTTATGCATCTAATGATCATTTTAGCAGCATAATAGCCCATAATTTAGATTTACTACAATTTACTTACTCATCCTGTATTTTATGGACTTTGAGTCTCATAGTTCTATGCCAATCAGGCAGTGATGCAATATCCATCTTTACTGTTAAAAGCTGTTGACACACTGGGTCAAGTGAGATGGTGTATCTTTGGTAATATTAGTAAGTATTTTGGATTGTTCTTTTATTAAGTTATAGCAATTTTCTTCTCCTCCAACTTTCCCACTCTTTGCATGGCCCATTAAGAATGGTTAAAAACAGGTTTTCTCATTTTAAAAATTGTTACCAATTCTTTGAGAATTTCATATAATGTATTTTGATCATTTTTACCCTATCTCTTCCCGGATCCATCCTCATCTACCTCCTAAATCCCAAACTTTGTATCCTCTTGTTTTAAAATTTAATAACCCATCAACTTCAATTTGTGCTGTCCATATACTTCTAGGTGTGTCAGCCATCCCCTGGAGTGTGTTTGGCCTGCCAGAAGTCAGACTGTTAAAGAAAAACTGACTCTCCTTCCCCAGAAGCCATAAACTGTCCATAGCTTATCAAGAACCTCTTGGAGTTCATGAACCTCTTCCCACTCAATAATAGAATGTTGACTGGCTTGGACTTGTGTAGACATTCATGCAGCTGTCCTATCATGTCCAGCCGTCAGTTCTAGTCTTCTTCTATAGTCTTTCCATCCCCTCTTCTACAATGGTCCTGGGCCTTGGGGAGGGGATGAATTTCTCATTTTTCACCTTCACTGACTGCTTTCTGGCACATTTGGGTGTCTTCTTGAAGAATTGACTGCTCGTATTATTTGCTTGGCATTTAAAGGAGCTTTTAATTCATTAGAGATAATAACCTTGTGTTACATAAAGCATAAATATCTTCTTTAGTCTATTTTTGGCCTTTTAATACTATGTTGCTTTATTATAGAGACTATCTTGTTTTTTACAGTGATACTTCTTTTACTTTATGAAATGAGTTTCCCACATCTAATACAGCAGTCTTTTACATTTATTTCCAATACAAACATACACATGTGGGTGTACATCTGTATGTGTGTATACATTTTAACACAGTTAGCATTTATGCCTAATGCAAGGGATGTTTAGTGGTCATAAAATGGAAATTCAAGACATACTATGTGTAGTCTTACTTTTTTAAAAAATCTGAAATATAACATAAAACTAAAAAGAAATTTAAGAAAATATAAAATTGTCTAGGACTTTAGGTTTGAAAGTGGATTGAGGTACAACACCAAAAACTTAATCCAAAAGAGGGAAAAATCAACTTTATCATAATTAGAAACAAATGAATCATTGTTGCAACAAGTACATTTTGCCAAGCAGTAAAAGAAGCGAGGAGTAACAACAGGCTTCATTACCGTTAAAATTCTTTGCATTGTGAAGACAAGGAGACCAATCACAGATTTGCTGCACATCATTTACTCAATCAAGGACTTGTACCCAGAACATTAGAAAGAAGAATGCTCATAATTTGACAACAATGAAACAAACAATCCATTTTTAAAAGTGGATTACAAGGACTGGAGAGATGGCTCAGCAGTGAAGAGTACTGACTGTTCTTCCAGAGGACCCGGGTTCAATTCCCAACACCCACATGACAGCTCACAAAAGTCTGCAACTCCAAGATCTGACACTCTCACACAGACATGCATGCAGGCAAAACACCAATGCACATAAAATAATAAATAATTTTAAAAATGGATTACAAATTAACATGTGAAATTGTACTCAGCCAAAGCCCATTGTCTTTATGGAAATCCTATTCACATAGGAATTCACGTATTCCATTCCAATTAAAGCCACAATGAGATAACACTGAACATTATGAACATGGAAAAAGAATAAAACCAAAAACATTATAACAGCAAGCAGTCAAAGGAAACAAAATGACTACAACCCTAGTGTGCTGCTGGCGGGAATGCAAAGTAGCACAGCTGCTCTGAAGAACAAACTTTACAGTCTTTTATAAACATGTATACAGTTTATGACCAAAGTGTATGGAACACTAATGTTCACAAAAATTGCACATGAATACATATATATATATATATATTCATAATTCATAAGCAATTTCACCTCTAATTGCAGAAAACAAGTAACAACCAAAGGTGTCTTTTCAACAGCAAAATGGATAAACAAATTGTGATATATCTGTTCCACCTATGCAATGGGATAATATTAACAGTACAACAAGATGAAGTGAGGGATCCTATAACAGCATAGATGAATCTCAAGTGCATTTTGCTGAGCATTAAAAGAAGCAAGGTGTAACAAGATGTATATGGCGTTATTCAGTTTGTAGGACATTCTTGAAAAAGTAAAATTATTCGGGCTGTGAAACAGTTCAGTTTCTGTTAATGTTTTGGGGGAAAGGAGTACTTTAAAAGGCTCCAATCAAAACATTTTTAGGTGAAGAAACTTCTTTGTATGGTATTTAAAGCATTTGTCAAAATCCATAGGAGTATACAAATTCCAAGTGAATGTTCCTGTATACAAATAGGGGGAAAATCAGCCAGAATATTGGAGGGCCCTGAGACAGAAAGTGTACCATGATGAGTAGATTCTGTGTTGCAAATACATGACACAGCATTGAAAAGAGACAGGGGAAAGGAATTGGCCTATTGCTTTTAAAAAGAATGTTTGGATTGGATACTAAACAACTAAAAGAAATACTGTCATAAACACAATATTCATGCAGGTAAGTTTGTTTCATACAAGTGTACTACATATCCAGCATTATACAAATAGTAACTGCACTAGAAAATGGGAGCTGGGACAAAGAATGAATTATTTAATCAGAAACAGTATAAACTCAGGGTTAGCTGCATTTAGATACATACAACAAAACATGGATGTATATAGACTTCAATTATGTATATATACTTTCTCACTTCTACCTGCTGAAAGGAGATGTAAATGGTGACCCTTTTATGCTAAGGAGCACATTCAGTGTCCAGATCACATTTTCTTATATTTTGGTTGTGAGCCTAGCCTTTAACAGCTGACTTATCCCTCCAGCCCCAGATCACATTTTCTAACAGTTAGTTCTCCAGTAAAGGCAAATATGGCTCTTTAGAAGAATAGACACTTATGAGACTAGCACAGGGAAACTACAAGATGAACCTGAAAGGAAGTAAATGGAAGGCATGTCAAAAGGGCTCATGTACCACCAAAGCTAGAAAAAGTTGAGCAACAAAACAATACTTGGTTATACCTGAAAAATAAAAATTGCCAAGTTCATATTTATAAACAAATAATTGAAAAAGAAATGAAGGGCTTTCTTACAGAATGATTCCTATAAGTGTAGAAGGAATGAGTTAATTAGGAGTATGCTTGCTTCAAGAAAGATCCATGGGTGAATGCTAAAATTAGTAGGTGAAATCTGAAGTAGAAACTTCAAAGTCTCCCCCCCCCATATTTTTTTTCCCAGTGACATTGATTGAATCCAGGGCTTCGTGCATGCTAGACAAGCATTCTGCCACTAAGCTACATCCTCAGTCCCAAAATAAATTTTAATTGCTTGTGATTTTAGCACATTCACAGAGTCTCTGATACTCTCCTGCAAGAGATAGAGTAAAATTCCTCATTCCCTGAATGTTGGCTAGACCTGGTGACTTGTTCTTAAGGACTAGGTATAATAAACAGTAGGTCAGTTACAGTGAGATACTTACCCATGTAGTCAAGGTTAACACTATTAGCAATAGATCATGCTGATGAAAGAAAAGAAAAGCACCTTGTCTTAATGACATTCACAAAACCTGTAAACCTATCCTAGTTTTGGGAAAACATTAGACAAACACAGAGTAGCAATGATACAGGATGAGTATTCTTCAAAAGCATCAAGGCCAATAAGTTGCAGGCTATAGGATACTAAGGACCTGATGAATGAATGTAATGGCTCTTGGAGCATGAAGTAGTTAAACTGGGAAAATGACTAAATTATAGCTTAACAGTGTTGTATCAATGTTAATTGTTTTTAGTTTTCATCAATGTAAAATGGTTATTATAAGACACTGTAGTGAAAGTTACATGATAAAACTATTTTTGCTTTTCTTCTACAAGT